ATTCGACAAAGGGGGCAGTGACATAAAATGGAGTAAAGATAGCCTCTTCAACAAATGGTGTTGGGAGAACTGGACAGCTACGTGCAAAAAAATGAAACTTGAGCACAGACTTACACCATACACCAAAATAAATTCAAGGTGGATAAAAGACTTAAATGTAAGTCGTGACACCATTAAAGTCCTAGAGGAGAACATTGGCAAAAAAATCTCAGATATTTCATGCAGCAACTTCTTTACTGATATGTCCCCTAGAGCAAGGAATGTAAAGGAAAGAATAAACAAATGGTATCTCATCAAAATAAAAAGCTTCTGCGTGGCTAAAGAAAACAGTATTAAATTAGCAAGACAACCAACTGTATGAGAAAACATATTTGCCAATGATACCTCAGACAAAGGTTTAATCTCCAAAATATACAAAGAACTTACACAACTCCACTCTAAGAAGACACCCAACTCAATTAAAAAAATGGGAAAAGGACTTGAACAAACACTTCTCCAAGGAGGACATACAGAACATTCAGAGACACATGAAGAGATGCTCAATATCGTTAGCTATCAGAGAGATGCAAATTAAAACTACAATGAGATACCACTTTACACCAGTCAGGATGGCTATCATAAACAAAGCAACAAACAACAAATGTTGGAGAGGTTGCGGGGAAAAGGGGTCCTTAGTTCACTGTTGGTGGGATTGCAGACTGGTACAACCATTATGGAAAACAGTATGGCATTTTCTCAGAAAAATAAAAATCGACCTGCCTAAGATACCATTTCTTTACCAAAGGATCAGCAATTGATAATCTCAATCATCATTTAAAATGCTTTTCCTTCTAAGGTGCCTCCTCCACTGGCTTTCTGGAATATTCACCAAACGCTGTAGCTTGAAGAAGCATCTTAAAGCAGAGGTCCCCAAATATGCAATTTCTTGGAGCTCCTATGCCATACATTCCACTTTCTAGTCTACAAATATAACTGGTGTCCATAGATGAATATATCCTAACATATCTACTTCTGAGATCATACCCTCTCCCCTTTGCATTCCCCCTCTCTGCAAGGATGCTGCCAGTAGGCTGACAACTGCCCACAGAGTCCCTGACCATGGTTACTCATCACTGAGTGACAGGGCGCAGCAGGGTAAGCAGCACCCACCCAGTACTCCCTCTAACTTGGTTGAGCAAGTGAAGATGTAAAGCCTTTCACGTAGTCAGCAATGAAAGAAAATATATGAATTTAAACATGCAATTAAATATCTATAATGACAATTAGCTATTAATGACCCCAAGAACTTGTATGTTCATCTTCCTTCCACAGGAAACTCACTTAAAACCTATCATGTCTGAGGCACTAGGAAAACACAATTCAGACATTTAACAGCTATAAATAACTCTTAATATTCTCCTATGATATTAGGGGTATGTGTCTTACAATGTGCTATTATTATTGCCTTCTCTAGAACTCTGTTATTTCATCTCCTACACTTTCAAACTGTGTGATTGGCATATTTGGTCCAATCCAGATTTATTCTCCTGAGGAATCTCTTTAAAGTGAACATCCTAATGTGTTATTTCACTTATTTCATGCACTTGACAGCTGTTTCTTGGGCACTTAATATATCTGCAAAGCATGTTCCTGACAAGAAAACACTGAGGAAGATTGCAAAAGTTTGTGCCATGGTGTACAATAGCATCCAGAAAAGGTGACTGCAGATGACTGAGAGCATGACAGATGTTCAAAGGGACATGGAGTACAGAGTGACTGAGTACATGTGGAGCTTACTGTAGGACTGAGCAACCACAGCACAGAGACTATGTGAGAGAGTGGCACCCAGTGACACCAATCTTGCACAAGGAGCCTCTTAATAAATAAGTAACATAGTTATGGCCTCATATTCAAGTGAAAATATCAAGCACTGTAGCCCTGACCCAGGAGTTGTCTGGCACCTGCCTTTCAACAGGTCTCTACCCTGGTACCTCTTTGCCAGTTTCAGAAATGGCAATTAGTTCCTCTAATTGTTCACTGAATGTTGACTGTATCTTCTACTGAGGTTTAGTCCTGGATCATCCTTTCCCTTTGATCTCCTGAAACTCTTCTTTCTGAGGAAACCTTTCTTCCCATCTTCAAGTGCTCTTTTAAGTTTTAAAAAGAAATTTATTGAATTTATTAGTGTGGTATTGGTTAAGAAAATTATATAAGTTTCAGGAGTGCAATTCTATAATACATTATCTGTTTATGGTATTGTATGTTCACCATCCAAAGTCAAGTCTCCTTCCATCACCATTTATCACTGCCTTTTCTGTTGCCCATATCTATGAGTTGTTTTTTTTTATTTTGTTTTGCTTAATCCCTTTACCACTGTCTTGTAGGCCCCCAACCCACTCCCATCTGAAAGCTGTCAGTCTGTTCTCTGTACCTATGAGTCTGTTTTTATTTTTTTTAAGATTTTATTTATTTATCTTTAGAGGGGAAGGGGAGGAGAGAAGAAGAGAAATATCATTGCCTCTCATCTGTCCCCTGACGGGAACTGGCCTGCAACCCAGGCATGTGCCCTGACTGGGAATCAAATCTCAATCCTTTGATTCGCAGGCCTGCACTCAATCCACTGAGCTACACCAGCCAGAGCTTGTTTCTATTTTTTTCTGTTGTTGTTCATAAGATTCCACATATGAGTGAAATCAGATGGTATTTGTCTTTTTCTGACTGGCTTATTTCACTTTGCATAATATTCTCCAGCTCCATCTCACATTGTTGCAAAAAGTAAGATTTCATTCCTTTTTGAAGCAAATGTACCACAACTTTTTTATCCACTCATCTGTTAATGGGCACCTGGGCTGCTTCCAAACCTTAGCTATTATAAACAATGCTGCAATGGACATAGGGGTGGATATATTCTTTCAAATGACTGTTTCAGGGTTTTTTGGATATATTCCAGCAGTGGAAGTGCTGGGTCATAAGGCAGTTCAATTTTTCATTTTTTGAGGAAATTCCATAGTGCTTTCCACAGTGACTACACCAGTCTGCATTCTTACCCACAGTGCAAGAGGATTCCCTTTTTCCACATACTCGCCAGGTAACAAGTGTTTGTTGATTTATGGATGACAGCCATTCTGACAGGTATGAGGTGAAATCTCATTGTGGTTTTAATTTTCATTTCTCTGATGATTAGTGATGTTGACTATCTTTTTGTGTCTATTGGCCATCTGTCTGAATAGAGAAGTGTCTATTTGGGTCCTTTGCTCATTTTTTTCTTGGTTGACTTCTATAAGGACTTCTATAAGTTCTACATGAACTTTGAATATTAACCCCTTATCACATACGTCATTGGTGAATATGTTGTCCCATTCTGAGGTCTGTCTTTTCATTTTTTTTTATTTCCTCTGATGTGCAGACTTTTTAGTTTAATGTAGTCCTATTTGTTTATTTTTTCTTTTGTTTCCCTTGCCTGAGGAGATATATCAGAAAAAATATTGCTACAAGAAATGTCTGAGATTTTACTGCCTATGTTTTCTCTTAGAATTTTTTATGGTTTTGAGTCTAACAGTCTTTAATCCATTTTCAGGGTTTTTTTTTTTTTGTGTGTGTGTGTATGGTGTAAAAAGGTGGTCTGGTTTCATTTTTTGCACCTATCTGATCAATTTTTCCAACACCATTTATTAAAGAGACTATCATTACCCCATTTTATGTTCTTGCCTCCTCTGTCAAATATTAGTTGACCATAAAGGCATGGGTTTATTTCTAGGTTCTCTATCTATTCCATTGATCTATGTCTGTTTTTATGCCAGTACCATGCTGTTTGGGTTACTATGGACTTCTAGGATAGTTTGACATCAGGTAGTGTGATTCCCACAACCTTCTTCTTTCTCAAGATTGCTGTGGTTTTTCAGTCTTTGTGGTTCCATATAAACTTCTGGAACACATGCATACTTAAAGTCTTATTCTGCTTCGCTCTACTATGATTTGTTTTACTGTTACTCTTAAACTTATAGAAAATAGAATCAATCAAAAGAAAAAGCATGGACCATAAGTAAAAAGTACAGTATCTACTGTTTTATTGGAGGAATACTATTCACCTAAATGAAAGAAAATGCTCTGTAACAATCCCGGAGACCTAGGGTTAAAAACACACATATAAGGTACACACACTTACATAGAGGATTCATTAAGTTCTTCTGATTTAGCTGTGGAACAAGGAAGCTGACTATGCAGGCATGCAGTCAGGCTCCATGGCTGGACGAAGGGCAAGTGCTAGACTGTGGTGCCCAAAACAGACTCTCCCTTAGCAATTTTGAGGTCAATTTTTCTGTCTTTGAAGTCAAGGGATATAATTACCAAATTGGCATGTTTTAAGTTGTTTTCAGTAAAAGATCACCTTCATGCCATTAACACTCATCTTAAATGGCCATTAGCTATGAAAGAATAACAGTATGTAATGTGCCCTATTAAAACAATAATAACTGACCTCTCTGAAGTACTGAATTAGCATTTTCATACATTAGTGTACTCAGTCCTCACAGCAACCCTGTCAGTTAGGATTTCATCATCCACATTTGAGAGATGATGAAATTGACATTCAGATGGGCTGAGTCACACATGTGCTGGGTTGCAGTACAGGCTTCAAACTCAGGTCAGCTTAACTCAACAGCCCGTGCTTCTAATGCCACCACTACACCACCTTTTATAATTCATGGGCTGAAGCTGCAAGCTGTGAAAATAGAGAAACTAACACACATAGCAAAGTATGTGTCTGCAGGAGACACACACACATACCCCTCACACACACATCAAGATATACACCCCACACACATACACATGCACATCAATAAATACCCTCTTTTGGAACACCAGAGAAATATTTTCATCATCATAAACAACTGTAGGAAAAGAATTATACAACAGTAAATTATCTTGTCTCCGGGTAATTGCAAACATTAGAGACAATTAAGCAAGTTCTCAAATGTTTTCTGAAACAAGTGAGGCACACTGGCCTCCAACCGTGCAGGTACCTGGTTTTTTAAAGGTCCAAGGAAGCCTAGATTTTCTGCCATCCGCTGAGCTTGGCTGTCCTTTACCCCATCGATAATGTCAATTTTCTCCTGGTAATAAACAAAATTCAGGTAGTTGAGTGAAAAGACTTACAATTTCAAAAGAAAATGCTTTCTATTTATTTGCAAATGAGTGATCAAAGTGTGGCACCTCTCCAGAGGTCTGAGTGGGGCTAGCAAAGCTGCCTGTAGGGGGCAGGCTTTAATTAGCAGACCATCTATAAAATAGCCTTTCCAAAAAGTAATTCTTCAGGGTGGCATGCTGACAAGATAATCGGATGCCAGTTTTCACTTTTAATTACTACACAGATGGCACTGATGAATATTTAGTCAGTTAATTTTTGTGACATCTTTTGGAAGGCTTCCAAAGTAAGGTTTTCTGGCCTAATATTGCTGTTAAGTTTAGAGCTTGTCACATAGATTAAATATTAGCTTATGATTTAAACACTCTAACAATGATGATAGTTATGAATACTTTAGCTCTACAAAGTACCATTCTCTCCTAGATACTGAGCACTGTTCACATATGTACATTCTTTTATGTATTTTCAAATGGAATGGTTTGTTTTAAATCACATTGATTTTGAAAATGGCTAGGCTTTACATGTATCACTCACTTTCTGAAAGTTTGCTTTGCCACTTTGTTTTTACCTCTTTTCATTAATGGAAAAAAATTTGAAAGGGATTTTCGCTTTTACAAAAAATAGCAAAAAGCAAAAAGAGTTTACCATTTGTTTTGTAGCAACCCTTACAGAGGCAGCACAGCCTGAGCAGAGAAAGGGGCCCCAAAAAGCTCCATCCCCAGAAACTACATTCATCAGCTCAGCATCCAGCTTCCCTAACTGTGAAGTGAGTCTGAGCTTCTGGGCTTCCTCTCAGTTTACTTTGTGTATCCATCAGCAAGATGTGTCCTAAGCTAAATGCTTTTTCTCTGTACACCATTTCAGCTTACAAAAGATTTCATACGAAAACTCTACTTCTGAATAGTGGGGGAACCTGTATTAGTAAGCTGGCCTATAAAGTCTAAAGTTAACTTCCAAGGTAGTTAAGTTAAATATGTAACACTGGTAAAAATAATTCTAAAACCAATCACCAAAGTTATCAGTGCTTTACACAAAGAGATTCAAGAAATAAATTTCCCATTTTTTGAAGGAAAACAAAATAGTGAATATTTCTACTACAAATTTGTAATGTGATTTTTTTGATATTAAGGACCTAAAATTAAAAACTGGAATTATAGTTCAGAAGGCCTCAGGTTTGTTGTTTTTTTGCTATTGATGAGGTAAGTTGAGAAGCACCTGATATACATCAATCACCTCACTCAATCCTCACAATTCTATGGGGTGGCAATACCCCATTTTCATTTTACTGATTCAAAAGGAAAGTTTAGAGACATTGAGAAACTTACTGGCTAGTTAGGATTTGACCTCATATATTTTTGGTTGGAAACTAATCTTAATGTCAATAAAATGAAAAAGATTTAAAGGATTGAAAGAAACAAAGAATCTGGACCTCAGAAGGTTTCTATCTTATATCAGTATTATTGAAAGACATCAAGATAATCTCTAGTTCACATCTGGTCTCCTTGGAGATTTTCTAGATCATACAAACTATTAAATGAGTAATGTTAACCAAGATGAAATGGAAATATCACAGTCTGTATCCACTGATTAATTTTTGGAGCAGGTTGGATGGAAAGGGATAAGGGAGGAAGAAGAAAAGGCAGGAAAGAAGAAAAACGGGAGGGTAGAGAAAAGCAGAGAAAAAAAAGACCTTGAATAGTGAATATCACCGTTGTACCCAACTTTCGACTGGATGACCAGTAAGAAAAAGGATGCAACATCTCACGCCTTAAATGCCAGAAGGAGATAAATCACTACATGCCTCAGACTTCACATTAAAGGTTTAACAGTTTCTGCTTCAATCACTAATGAACACAGAATTGCCAGAAATCTAAACATACCTTAAAAATAAGTTCTGGATTTGAAGTCGCCACCTCTTCAATGTCCATACCCCCCTGGGGGCTGCCCACCAGGACAGGGCCATTGCAGGATCGGTCCATCAGAATTGCAAAATAGGTTTCCCTGGAAATGTCCAAGGCTTCAGCAACCATCACCTACCACATTAGCAGGAAAGTCCAATGAATTCAGCATCAAAGTGATTTCCACTTGGAAATCTACAAAAACTTGCTACACAAATCAAACAGCTTCACTTTCAGGCTCTTTGAACCCAGTGAATTAGCTTCCAGAGATTTTTGTGATCTCTGTTCTCAGGGTACACCGTGCCCATTTTCACTCCTTAATTGATTCTGTTAATGTGTTCAAGTGACAGGTACTGGTTGGCCTCAAGGAACCTTCCCACTTTAATCATCTTTTGCTTCTTTGAGAAACCCTGAAACTTAAGAAAAACTCCAGGGAAACAGCTGTTACTTTAATTTGACACATTAACAGTATATATATATTACCACACTGATTTTCCTCAAGTTGCTCTTGGTACAAAACCAAGTCTGGTTGCTAAAGAAAGATTCTTCTTACAGTATGTCTGATAGTTCAGATTTTTGTATACTTTTGTATACTCTTGGTTCACAGTATCTATATATCAATTTTTACTTTCTTTTAAGTGACTAATATAATATTTGCTTGTTCAAAATTAATGTCCATGGCACATGAAGCACATAAAAGCAGCTGCACATATACCTGCCCACACCCAGCAGTCAGCATGGTCATGCAACCATATGGAACCTTTGTGATCATCACCAACTTGCCCTTTGCTCTGGGAGGATGTGGGCACACACATGGACCTGGATTGGGCAGGAGGCAGGTGGGATGGAAGGACGTGCTCACTGACTCAGGCAAGAGTCTTTGGCTCTGCCCACCCCTAACAACCCTATGCAGTAACCAGAGCAGGAAAAAGCACTAATCTGCAAGCATTACAGCAGCGGGATGACCCTGCACACGCAGGCACACTATGTGTACTTGAATGTCTGTCTTTTTTTCTTGCTTTTAATATTAATACTACAGCTTAGACATCTTTCCAATGACCTCTCTCTTCCTTGTGACTATGAGGTACTTATATGTCAATATTTATTTAACAATATCCCTACTGACATTTAGATGGGCTTCAATTTTTCTAAAATGCTTCAGTGAATATTTTTGTATACATATCTTCGCTCATTTGTTTGAGTACCCCTATAAATAAGGTACCTAAAAATAAAATGTCAAGGTGTTAGAATCTTCATATTCAAAATTTTGATTAAGTACTCTCAAACAGCCCTGGAGAAAGAGGCTATACCAACTTTCACTCCCCCCAAATCATAAAAGATGTCTTGCATAATTTTTATTTTTTTAAATATTTTAATTATTTATTTTTAGACTGAGGAGTAGGGAGAGAGAGGGAGAAAAACATCCATGTGTGGTTGCCCTTTGTGCGCCCCCACACTGCGGACCTGGCCTGCAACCCATGCGTGTGCCCTGACTGGGAATGGAACCAGGGACCCACCCTTTGGTTTGCAGCCCATGCTTAATCCATTGAGCCACATCCATTGAGCCAGGGCTCTTAGATAATTTTTAAAGGAAAATAAGAACTATCATAAATAATTGGTACTAGAAGTGAAAATATAAAAGCACTTACATTTCTTTTCCTAAAAGTAGTTCAATGATAGGTTTCACAAAGACAGTTACAGATTGAGTAGCGTTAGATTCTAGCTAGCCAGATGCCACAAAAACTTTAAGTTTCAAGTCACTTGAAATGAGACAAATACAAGGTGGAGCAAAAGTAGGTTTACAGATGTTCATATGGAATATAACAATTAATAAGTAATAATATAAGAATTTAACATGTTTCTTGAAGGGGGCCAGTTTGTTTTAGTCTGGCAAATGTGACTCAGCTCTTATGGAAAACCTACAGAAGTGAGGTGGTGAGCAGGAGCCAGACCTTCAAACCGAGTTTTCCCACGGGAATCAGGCCTAGAAAATGCATACAGATTGTTATGGCTTGCTCTTGCTAAAACTCCACCACCCTTGTCTAAAACAACAAATGTGTATTGTCTATCTTCAAGGTAATTTCCAAAGCCTGTGTGAATTTTCCCAAGGACAGAGCTAATAAGCTCACCACCATTCCCCTCTGCATGTTATTTTCATTTTCTTGACTGTACCTAAAATGTAGACAATAATATCCTATGTAATAGGTAACAAATCTTTCTCTGATGTAAGACCCATGGAAAACAATAAAAGCCTGTCTAGGCAAGGGTCAAGGTGTTCTCCTCTTCAGGGAGTAGCCAAGGCATTCATAGGCACTCTCCCCTTGAGAGAGTAGCCCTGACATTTCCTTTTTCTCCACAGGACTGTTGGCACCTGTGCATTTATTCTCATTGTCAGCCACCATAGGCAGACTCTGCTGGCCGGAGTCTGCCCCAGTTTTTCCTACTCACTGTAAACCTACTTTTGTTCTACCCTATGATCTAAAAAGCTATAATGTAATGAATATAGAATTCCTTTTTAAACTTTTATGGAATTATCTCCAGTTAGATATAAAACACCTTACAAGGGCTTCATACTAATTCATTTGTCATAAATGGTAGCTCATGGTAAGAAATGGTATGTAAGAAATATTTCTTGGCACATGGTGTCATGATTATCTAGAACCATCCTGATTTTAAGTTCACTTTCTAATGCAGAGCTAGTCTAGTGAATGAGAAATTTAATGACTTTCAGTAGTTATTCTTAGAAGCAACACAACATTATAACTTTTTATGATAAGTGTCATTCAAGAGTCCCATTCTTATTCTTCTATAATATAGAAAGATGTGCTCTGGCTTCCATTAAATTTCTATTTGTAAAGAGCAGCTGTTGTCTCAAACAGCTCCTGCTTGGTAGAAATAATGTATCACTCTTGAAGAAAACATCCCCAGGAAAATGATGATTTTCAACACATAATTCAAGAAATCTTATATAACAACCAATTTTTTACATTATTGTGCCATCCTATGACCCAGGATGTCAGAGTACTTTAGGAATTGTTATGGAGAGAATCAAAATGAACTCCATGAACAGAGATATATTTCAGAAAAGCTTCATCTGTGACTGACACAAATAATATCATCAATGCAGCCTTTTTGTGGTGTCCTCTGGTGTAGAAAGCTTTTTAATGTACTTTGCCCTAATTTGACCACTGAACCTGTTTTTGCTAGATACTCAAAATGTGATCTGTGGATGAGCGTAACTGCACAAACTATATGTAACATGATCGTGATTAGGTAAGATGAAAAATATACTCTCAGTTTTTGAAGTTGTCTCATGGCTGAGCAGTACCCACCCCATCCCCAAATCACAGAGCACACAATGTGCAGCACCTCCCCTCCCCTATTACTATGTCGAGGAATACACCACTAACACAGTGGCACGGCTTTAGAAAAAAATAATCCGATGTGTACAGGTGTATATATGTGTTGAAATAACCCCTGAAACAAACTTAGAAATCTAAAGTTTCTATAATATGGGGACTTCTAATTGATGTCCAAGGTTCTGTAAGTAAAAAACTGCATGTTCCTTAAAGTTGTATAAAATATTGTTACAGAAACATTTTACACAGAAAAAAAGACCAAAATAATGTATCACAATTATTTCTGGGTGGTGAGAATACAAGGGAGTTGTATTTCTAATTTTTATATTTCCATACTACTGGAATTTTTACATAGGTTAATCACTTTTGCAATTAGAAAAAACAACTACTTAAAAATAAATCACTCTAGTAGTTTCCTGGTAATGACTCAATTTATAAGAATGCACTTATTGCCAGTATTTCAGTAGGTTCCTGAAATAATTTTATACTTATCTAATGTGACTCTTCTTTGTGTATTTTTATATGCTTTTAAAAAGTGTTGCAAACTGTAATTTAAAAACCCATGTGCACATAAAAAATAACAAATTATTTAAAGCAAAAATACTAATCAGGTCCTCTGTGGAGAAATTTTGAAGAAATTTCACAGATAAAGGCCTATAACCAGATTTAAAATGAAAATAAAGGTAGTGTGCTGGGCCAAACAAAATCGAACCAAAAACACTTTTGCTTTTAAGCAGTTCTTGCATCCACCTGAGAGGCAGTGGTAAAGGGAAATAACTAGCACTGGTTGTACATGTGCTTCCTTAACATCTACAAAGACTCCGTACCAGCATGAAGGAGACAATCATGGTGCTGAGATCCCCCTCTGGCTCAGTATTCCCTGGGGAACAGGAAAGACTCTTGTGGTACAATAACCACCAGCTGTGATTTTCTTTTTGGTTATGTCAAGAATTTTCCACACAACTCTTTCTGAAGAGTAAAATCAGAATGCACTGCCTCAGTACCCCCAAGCATGGCTCAGTGGTAGAAATCGCCATCTATTGTCAACAGAGCAGACAGTTGCCACCCCCAAATGTTGGGCCCAATTCACTGCTACTATGGGGCCATCTATCCATCTGTACCTCCATGGCTGGGGGTGTGACCTGTGTAATAGTGTAGGACCCAGATTCAAAAGGATCCCACTTCTGGTCTCTTGGTTTAATGTTCTGTTGAAATTTGAACAAAGGTCCTCATGTTTTTATTTTGCAATGGGTCCTGCAAACCAGGTAACCAGGTCTGGTGCCTCGATACACTGGTGGGACACAGAAAGAATCAAGAGACAATAAGATGAGAGTTAGGTTCTGGCCTCAGCTCTGCCACTCACAAGCTCATGGCTGGCGCAGGCTACTTTGCTGTAGGCTTTATTTTCTCTGTGTGTGTGTGTGTGCATGTGTGTGTGTGTGTGTGCGCGCGCACACCCGTGCATAGGCGTGTGACCTATACAAAGTTGTGTATAGGGCACACACATACGGATGCCTCAAGGGATCTCAATGATACAACATACTCTCAGAAGTAGCACTGGCTCAAAGTGATAGTAATCTCAAAGTAAGGAATAGGTCCACTTAGATAAATAGCCATGGCAGTAACTCTGATACCCAGTACTGTGGCTGGGGCTGTGGGACAACAGGGACTACCCCTCACTGAGTGTGACACTGTCATATCAAGCCCTTTTCAGCTTTAAACAGAATGTGTCTGTGTTCCAAAAGAGAAAGCTATTGCTTCAATCACTCCTACCCACCTATACTACATGCTGAGGATAATACATTATGTTACTATTACAGAAATTTTTCATTTCTCTTCAAGTCATACCACACACTAAACAGGTTACATGAGGTTTAAAAATGAAAATAAAATGGCGCATTGCCAAAGTGCATTCAATTCTGCCAAAACTAAAGCATGATTTTCTTTTTTAACACATACACAGAAAATGACCAGAAGCATTTATATTACCTTGTTAACTTTCACACCTTCTTTTGAAGTTTGTTTCGTTGCTAGATTATATCCAATCATCTGTTTAGCCAACTGTCCCACAACTTTAGGGCTAAAAGAGAGAGAGAAAAATAAAAGAAAATCAATGTCTATGTTGAAAATTATTTTAAAGCTGAGTCCATACTACAATTCTCCGGTCCACTCAGCACGGGGTACTCCTCCATACCCAGAATCCATGGGACTTTCTGTTCATCAATACAATAAATTAGTGAAAAGAAGGAAGGAAGGGAGGGAGGGAGGAAGAAGAAAAGATTTGTGCTTACCTCTCCTATTGTTCCCCCTCACCCTCAAATAAATTACAGTCATAGTAAAGAAATAATGCTGAAATGCACAACATGTTTAGAGTTGAACAACAAAGAGTTGCTAGAGAGCAATTTTGGAAAGTACTGGCCAATAGTGGGGGAAAGCGGTGAGGGCAAGAATCACAAATAATGAATGACAAGAGAGGAGAGTGTTAGTGCTGGGAGACATGGGAGCTAAAGCTGAATAGATAGGCTCAGATGAAGGGAGACTTGGACTGCATCAGACAGGAGAGACAGCTGACGCCACTGGCAGTGGGAGCCACTGCAGGTTCTTGAGTAAGAAAGTGACATTATGGAAGCAGTACTTAATTTGTAAATGGTATCATTTCCAACATTTGAAATAAAAACTGATCACCTAGGAGAGATGCAGTGTCAAGTTTCACCAACTAGTGAAGAAAAATCCTTTTATGGGAGAAGTGGAAAACTGGGGTATTGCCAGCATCGACACTAATTGTTTCCTCTCTTTGCTAGCTCCAGCGCTGACCCTCCATTTCCCAACCCCCTCTTTCAGTGTTCCTTTTCTGTAACTGCTTAGCCCACAGACAAGGAATTTAAACCTCAGGACTTACTCTTTTGATAAATGAACACCTCCTTTCAAACCACTGCTGAAGGTACCTTTTCCTCTTCCTCCAGCTAAGATCTGGGCTTTTAAAACAATTTCTTTTGCATCTGAAAGAGAAAATTCAAAGGGGGTAGTTGATTTTTAATTATTTTTAAAGCAACAAAGAAATATTTTATTTCCTTAAGCAATAAGGAAAATGGTAATATCATATAAGAGTGGTAAAAGCCCTCTCCAACCAACTTTGAAAATAAAGGCAATAAACAACTTCAAAAGCATCAATGTGACTAAATACAAAGCCTGTTTATTGAGGACATTCAAATATTTCTACCAGTTTAATCTAATACTCCACCATCCCAAGGGAAAGCAAGGCATGTGTTCCCTCGCTTTTATGAGTGTCAGAGGATGCTAAATAAATCCAGACTGCAGCAATGGCATTCCCATGTGGCAGGGGAACCAGTCTGCCAGTCAGAGAAACTAACTAGCTGCCAGTCACCTGAGATGTCAAAGGTAAGACAAGATTACAAAAGGAAAGGTTCAAAGACAAGACACAAAGGGAGTATTTAATAACTGTATTATTGGAAACCAACAGTGTTCTCAGCAGTTGCTCTATACATTGATAGGGCTGGGTAAGGGAGGAGAAAATAGATTAAAACTAAAAGCAAACAATATTTTTTAAATCTTGGAAGAGTAACAAAACATCCCAGGGGAAAGTGGTTGTGGAATCTTCATTTCTCACTCAAGAAAAGAGTGAACTGCCTGTTCCTGACATTTGAGACCAGAATCATGAACTCAGATGTCTTTATGGGCCTGGCAGGAAAGCTGGATATGCACAGAAGCCCAACGATGGAGTCAGGGCCTCAGCAACAGCAGATCTGTCCTCCTAAACCCTCAGAAATAAAAAAAGGCAATCCCCAAATTAAATGTTTGATGAACCAAACAGTACCCATCTCAGGCTACAGCTGACATCCTCTGTGATTCCTATCTGTTTAAAATCACCTAAGTCTGACAATCTTCTCTAAGTCTCCAATAGTTTTCTGACTCTGAAGACCTAGGTTTCAATCCAGCCTTCATCCCTTACCCAGCTGCATAGCATTGAACACGTTACTTAATATTTCTGAGACTCAGTTTACTTGATTGTGAAATGATGATGAAGATTGTTCCAATAATTAAATGAGACAATACATGTAAATATTTTATTCCAAGAGTCTAAAAACACATATGATTAATGAAAAGCCACAATCAATTAGTTAACTTACTACCTTTGTATAGTGTAAAAATTCAAAAGGACTATTTCTACTTGGGCAGAGATGGAAAATATAATTTGTTAGTATCTGCAACTATTTACATAAAGTGAGAACTCCACAAATGTTGGCTAATTTCAGCTATTATTATTGATGTTGTTGTTACTCATAGGCAAAGCATGTAAAGGTTCCAACAGAGGGTTTTATCATGAAAGCAAAAGAAACAACAGAAATATTTGACACCAGGCGTTGGGTAAGATAGTCAGTCACTCCACTCGATGCAGTGAATTATTCAAATTTATTGTCTCCACTTCTTGGTCTTCCTTTCTATTGCATTTGCTTACACTAAGAAAACCAGGGTTCACCTTCTCTCAGAAGCAAACAGCTCTTTCTTTACCACATACAGTCTATACCGTCTGACAATTGTTTCTGCCTGGAAATAAATCATTATAACATCAGTCAAACCATGTCTTAGAATAAACTGGATTCCCCCAAAACTGAGAAGACAAGTTATGATGGCCACTTGTTATCAGAGACTCACCAGGAGAGGAAAAAAGCAAAAAAAAAATTGAATATTTATGCTAACACATGTAAAGAACAGCAGTACAGCAAGGACTTTAGAGTTAAACAGATCCAAGTGACCAACTCCAACTCCACCCATCACTTCCTTTTGTAGTGAAGAGAAAAAAGAAGATAGAAGACAGGTTCTGAAAGATAAAAGTAGCATGCTCATCTGTAAAGTGGTCATAATAATTTATGTTAGCATGATGTGAAAAAGTAAATGAAATATACTAGCTAAGATGCTTATCTCAACACCTGACACACTGAAAACAATAGCCAAAATATGATGATCTGTCATCATTATAATTATTTTCAGCAATTAACCAAGAGTGGCATATAGGAATATATATTGTTCAAAAATATCAGGTAGAAAAAACTCTTTTCATGTCTACTCAGATTTTTCATTGTGATCTCTTCAAATTATTTAAGAAAGTAACCAGCACTCCATTGCCTCTAGCATTATTCATGTCCTTCTCATCCCGAAGAAAAAGATGCTTTTCCTCTAAGCTTTCTAGCGACAAAACTTGAAATGCAGAAAGAATACCTAATTGGGCATTGTTAACTGGCACTACACAGGCACGATTAGATCTGCTTTAGGCACTACCAACAGGACAAAGAAACCATTGTAACCTCAGTGAAGTGTTGTTAATTCCAAGTGTCAGTATCTGACCACATGTCAAAGGTTTCATGTCACCCTTTTGGTAAAGCAACCACTTGAAACTGTATAATCAGTCAGGCATATAGAAAAAGGGGGGGAAACAACCCAAGTACATCTTCTGCGTCTTGTACTGCATGCCAAGAATAAGTTCACTGCTATCATCTCTTCTGGTCAGAACTCAAGGGCTAAATCAGTACAGCAGGTCAGGAGCTCAAAGTAAAGCAAGTTTTTCTATCTTGAGGGAAACTCACATGAAACAACTTAATTCATGTGGTTATTTACTCAAGGTACTGAAAATTAAGTAAAGTGACCAAATCCTACTGAAGAGTCACTAGTGTTTCATTCAGTATTTACCAAGTTGACTCACACTTACTATCATTACTTCCATTTTATTTAAAAACTTCATTTCTCCAAAAACTCACACAAATTTCTAGAGTATATTTTTAATGTTACCTGTCTATTCCCAAACAGAAATAAAAAAGAATATTCCATACATGAAATTCTATTTTTGTCTGAATACATAAAATGGCTTAAGTATACTTTAAGAAAACAAGGTAAAAAGAGAGGAAGGGCTAGTTGTGGGAGAGCCACCTACTCTAATAAGTTTTGCATGGAAAGAGGTTACACCTATATGTGCACTGATAACCATATTAGTGCACTTTTAGTTGGTATCATGAGGTCTGCATAGCTCTCAATTCCTTGCTATTAACAATGACTCTTGACTTCTGGCCAAGATGGTGGCATAGGTGGAAACACTGTACCTCCTCACACAACCAAATTTAAGGACAACAAAGATTTAGAAACAAAAACACAACCAAAATGGACGGAAAATTGAACTGTATGGAAGTCCGACAACAACGAATCATTCATCCAGACCAGTAAGAGGGGCAGGGTTGGCAGCTGGCAGAGAGGGGTCATGGCAGGAAAAAGTGGTGGCTGCCGGACCAACCCAGGTGCACAGGCGGTGGCTGGCAGATCCCAGGCATGGGGTGGCAACAGGCAGACCCAGTGAGGGCACAAGGTGGCTGGCTGACCAAGGTCACACATTCACATGCAGATAAACCAGGCACAGGAACAAGCAGTGAGACAGACCATGCAACCTAGGGCCCCAGCACCGGGAAATAAAGCCTAGCACCAATTGAAAAAACTTTCAGGAGTTGAGGTGCTGGGAAAGGCTCTCAGCCTCACAGGAGAGTTCGCTAGAGAGACCCACAGGGTCCTAGAATATACACAAGCCCACTCACCCAGGAACCAGCACCAGAAGGGCCTAATTTGCTTGTGGGAAGTGGCAGAGGGGACAGAAATCCAAGAGAGAGTGAAACTAATGCCATTTTTCCCTCTCTGACCCTGCCCCCAGTCACAACCCAGGGACTGCGTTGAACCGCCCTGGTGTACCTAAGCTGTCGCCCCTCATACATAATAGGCGTGAACAGACCAAAACATTATGGCTCAAGCAGAAGAACAACTCAAAGGCCCAGAGCCAATACTTCTAAGCAACAAAGAGATAGCCAACCTATCAGATGCACAGTTCAAAACACTAGTAATCAGGATGGTCATAGAACTAGTTGATTTTAGTTGCAAATTAGATGAAAAACTGAAGGCTACACTAAGTGAAATAAAAAAAAATGCACAGGAAACCAATAGTGATGGAAAAGAAACTTGGACTCAAATCAATGGAGTGGATCAGAAGGAAGAAAGAAACAACCAAAAAGAAAAGAATGAAGAAACAAGAATTCAAAAAAATGAGGAGAGGCTTAGGAACCTCCAAGACATCTTTTAAACATTCTAACATCCGAATTATGGGGGTACCAGCAGGGGAACAGGAAGAGCAACAAGTGGAAAACTTACTTGAACAAATAATAAAAGAAAACTTTCCCAATCTGGCAAAGGCAATAGATTTCCAGGAAGTTCAGGAAGCTCAGAGAGTCCAAAAAAAGGTAGACCCAAGGAGGAGCACACCAAGGCACATCATAATTACATTAGCCAAGATTAAAATGAAGAAGAGAATTCTAGAAGCAGCAAGAGATAAGGGGACGGTCACCTACAAAGGAGTTCCCATCAGACTGTCAGTGGATTTCTCAAAAAAGACCTTACAGGCAAGAAGGGGCTGGAAAGAAGTATTCCAAGTCATGAAATCCAAAGACCTACAGCCAAGATTGCTTTATCCAGCAAAGCTTTCATTTATAACGGAAGGACAGATAAAGTGCTTCTCAGATAAGGTCAAATTCAAGGAGTTCATCATCGCCAATCCCTTATTATATGAAATGTTAAAGGGACTTATCTAAGAAAAAGAACATAAGAAATATGAACAGTGAAAGGACAGCAAACTCACAGTTATTAACAACCACACCTAAAACAAAAGCAAACTAAGAGGACAGCTAAATCAGGAGCAGAGCCACAGAAATGGAGATCACATGGAGGTTTATCAACAGGGGAGTGGGAGGAGGAGAAGGGGAGAAAAGGTACAGAGAATAAGTAGCATAGACGGTGAAGAGAAAATAGACAGGGGGAGGGCAAGAGTAGTGTGGGAAATATAGAATCTAAAGAACTTGAGACACATGGTCATAAACTAAAGGGGGGAATGGTGGGGAAAGGGGTGTGCAGCATAGAGGGGAATGAAGGGGGGGAAATAGAACAAGTGTAATGG